TAAACCCTAAACCCTAGAATCTTGAGGTTCGCAGGAGATCCTCCACCCAGAAGGGTTTGGGCCCCGTAGAATTTCGGATCAGGGTTTAGGGATTATTGCAGTTTAGGGGCTTAAGGATTGTTGGGGTTTAGGGTTTATGGGTTTAGGGATTATTTGGGGTTTAAAGTTTAGGGTTTATTGGGGTGTAGGGTTTAGGGGTTTAGGGATTATTTGGGGTTTAGGGTTTAGGGTTTATTGGGGTTTAGGGTTTAGGGATTGTTGGGGTTTAGGGTTTGGGGTTTAGGGTTTATTGGGGCTTGGCAAGTAAGGTCATAAGCACCTTATTTTGGGTTAACTATACGTATGTTACATATAGTTGACTTATTTATCGCCCTAGTTACTAAGTCCCATGATCCGTTAAGTATAAAACCCCTTCTGGAACCCTTCGATTCGGGTTTAGAGTTAAGGCGTTAGGGGTTTAGTGTCTAGGGCTTAGGGATTTAGAGTTTAGGGTTTTAGGGGTTTAGGGTTTGGGTTTACGCTTTAAGGTTTGGGGTTTGGGTTTGCGATTTCAAAAGAAGACTTCGATCACGGAGCCTGAGGTAGAGAAGCAGCACATGACAGAGCAGAGCAGCACGGATCGTGCATCCAAGCGCAGCCATGTGTGGGTTCCGATGCTGCTACGAAACCCGAAGGAAGGGGCTTTTAGCTTTTCCTGCGAGTTGCCATGGGCTTAGGGGTTTGGGGTTTAGGGTTTAGGGTTGAGGGTTTAGGGCTGAGGGTTTAGGGTTTAGGGGATCCAGCTCTTCACCGAATAACCTAGGACACCACAAAGGAAGTGACAGTTACAATGCCTAAACCCTAAAGCCTAAACCCTCACATACAAAGGCCACATGTGTGCAATGGCCCTATAAGGCCGAATCCGCCAATGCTTCTTCCGACGGAGCAGCGCTGCTTCCTTCGGAAGCAGGCGCTTCCTTTGGTCGGTTCTGTGAGCAGAAACGGCATTGAAAGTTCAGGGCGTACCCTACACCCCAAGCTCAAAACCGTAAACTCCAAACCCTAGACCCAAGTTTGAGGTTTAGGTTCCTGGCTTCGGGGTTTGCGGCTGTAGGTGTCTGAAAAATTTAGGAGTCGAGGTCTTTGGAGAGATCTTGGTCTCTAGGGTTCCAAGTTGAAGGCTTTGAGGTTTTCAGGTTTGGGGCTTGAAGGGCTTTCTACTACTACTACTACTACTACGACGACGACGACTACTACTGCTACTACTACTACTACTACTACTACTACGACGACGACGACGACTGCTACTACTCCTCCTCCCCTTCCTCCTCGCCGTCGTAGCAGCAGCACTTCGCAGCTAAGGATGCAAAACAGACTCCAGATCTTCGAGAACCCTAAACCCTAAACCCTAAACCCTAAACCCTAAACCCTAAAACTCCAGATCTTCGAGCCACCAAATCCTCTTTAGAGGCTCCAATGGTCCAGGGGGCAAGGCGTTTAGCGTTTGGGGTTTAGAGTTTAGGGTTTAGGGTTTAGGGTTTTGAGTCTGGGGTTTTGGGAGTAGTGGTTTTGGGCTTAGTTGTTGCAGCAGTGCTTGGGCAGCTGCAAAGGTTGGGCTGTCAGAATTTAGGGTTTGGGGCTTCGGGTTTAGGGTTTAGGGTTTAGGGTTTAGGTCTAGGGTTTAGGGTGAGACGGTATAAGTCATAAGGTATTCTACCAAAGCCAAATTTCCGAGCACGGGCATCGAAACCCTATAAGCGGAGACTGGGCAAGATGTAAAGCTTTAAGCCCTGACCACAAACTCCCAGAGCGTGATCATGCACGAAGTCCACCGAAAGAGTTGAACCCTAAACCCTAAATCCTAAACCCTAAACCCTAAACCCTGTTGAGTTTCAGCTGCGCCTTTTCGCCACTCTACGCTGCTGGCCCTTCATCGGGCATCTCTACAGGCTGCCAGCTTGGCAGTTGTAAAAAGGGCCACTTGGAGGTTCATGGGTAGTTATAAGTGGGGCTAGAAGGAGGGTAACTATAATCAGAACCCAGTGTAGGGGACGTAGAACCCTGAAAACATGAACCTCCAAGCACCTTCAAGCGCCACCTTTTCGCGGCTCTTCTGTACCCGCTCGAAGGCTTGGCCCCTAAACCCATTCCCAAAGCTCGGCACCCTTACGTACTTGGAGGGTCATGGGACTTGGTAAGTAAGGTAAACTTACCTCAAGTGGGGTTATAAGAAAAAAATGAGTATGGTCACCTTATTTATCCTATAACACAGGATGATGATTCCTTGCGGCGTAGGTCGTTGAGCAGCAGCTCCAAGCTGGCTGAGGCACGGCACCGGGGAACAAGCGCCTGAGGAAGCTCATAACTAACTTTACAAGGGCCCGACGAAACCCTAAACCCTAACCCCGAAACGCACTAAACCCCCAAATCCCACCCCGAACCCCGAACCCCTAAACACCCTAAACCCAAACCTCTGCATGCCCTAAGCCCTGAACCAAGACCAGAAAGAAGCGCCTGCAGAAACTCGGCTGCGGTCCGTTTTTCGACGGTATCCCCCTCGATGGCCTCTGTCTTTAAGGCTGTTTCTAAGGGTGTTTTAGAGTCAGAGTCGAAAAGGCTCCTTTTAAAGGGATCTATACTTAAAGGTTCATGGGACTTAGTAAGTAGGATTATAATTAAGGTAACTGTACTTATATTCACTTAGAACCCCAATTAAGGGACTTATAACCTTACTTACTAAGTCCCATAATCCTCCAAGTAGGGGATCTAGAAGGGGCTTCGGGCTTTAGGACTGTAGGGTTGAGGCTTTTGGGCTTTTAGGGTTTGGGGTTCAGGGCTTTTAGGGTTGAGGGTTTTGGGTTCAGGGCTTCAGGGCTGAGGGTTTAGGAGGTTTGCTTATAACCCCACTTAAGGGACTTATAGCCTTACTTGCTAAGTCCCATGATCCTCCAAGTAGGGTTGGCTCGCAATTGAAGGATAAACCCTGAAACTTGGCACACGCAGGGACACAACCACTCAACTATGGGTCGATTAAGTCCGTGCAGTGCTTTCACGGAGAGAGAACGCAGGAAACAACAGCCGAAAGAATTCTAAAGTCTAAACCCTGCATTCTACCCCACGATGCACTCAGATACACGTGTATCTTGTGTATGTGTATATATATATATACATACATATATATATATATACATACATATATATATATATATGTATGCCTAACTGACTGACTTACTCACTGACCAACTAACCAACCAACCGACCGACCAACCAACCAACTAACTAACGCCGCTAGAACTCAGCCGCTGGAAGGAACAAACAAGATGTTCAAGGGGTATTCTGACCGGTGGCCCACGCCGCAACTTGAGTGGAAGGAGGCCAGTTGCCAGAGAAGAGGAACTTCCTGGGGCTCTTGTTGAGGAACTTACTTTAGGCTACTACCCTTAAATAGGGAGCTACAGCAAATACGAAGGTTTCCTTAGTCACCCTAAACCCTAAACCCTAAACCCAGTATGGTAACTGGCATTCCTTAACAAGAGCTCAGCTTCACCACGGCCATGAGCATCACCAGAGCCGGCTCTGTCTCAGCTTCTAGCAGAACGCGAGCCGTCTCACGCAGAGAACCCTGTGGCTGCTGCGACTTCAGCGAGTCGGAGCAGCTGGAGCGGAGCACGGGGAGGAGGCTCGGGTGTAGGGGCGCAGGGAGGCTTTGCAAAGCCTCCAGAATTTTTCCGGGCTCCTTCCAGTGGAGACGCGCGGCCCAGAGCTCCAAGCCGGCGCGCTGCGCCAGCACCGAAGGCGCCTGGAAGGCCGCCGCCGCGGCCGCCAGCAGCGTGGCCTCCGAGGCCTTTTCGTTTGGGCCCAGGAGTTGGCTCGTGAGGATCCTGAGCCGGGCGGAGGCCTGAAGCAGATCGGGTTTAGGGTTTAGGGTT